ACGCCCGCCTAATCTACTCTCTGATGTTGTTGCCGATTAGGAGTTAAGTGCGGCGATTGCCTGCCTTCCGGCACCTAGGCCGATTTTTAGAACACTGATCATGGTCCATATCTAACTTTGGTAAGAGTCAGTTCATTGAAATAGAAAGTTTATGAAGAATTTAGTTGGAATAAATTTCCTACAATTTGTATTCCTTTTACGTTTTTTACTTTCAAAATATGAACAAACATAATTGAAATATTATATAACTTAGAAAGCTGTATACGTTGCCATGTAAGCATACATCTATGCGTATGAATGGTTTCAAAGTGAAATTCTAGACCATGGTCATTGTACCTGAGTATTTTTTTGGGTATAGAAGTGGTTCGATCGAAATAAGGTATATTTCTATCTCAAAGGAAATATGTTTTGGATTTGTTGACAAAAACCAGAATACTTGACTGTATACCAGTTGACACTCCTACAGTTCAAAACCATCTTGTTACCATGTACCTTGACCAAATCTTAACTAACAAAGATTGCTATCAGAGGTTGGTTGGGTGACTAACCTACTTGTCTCACACTAGACCCGACATTGTCTATGCAATAAGTGTTATAAGCTAGTTTATGCATTCTTGAGTGAAGCTCACTGGGTGTGGGTTGAATGAACCTTGGCTGCTTGAATTCTACACCAGGTAGAGGCATCATGTTTTCAAAGAATGGGCATTTTCAAGTGGTTGGTTATACTGATGCGGATTGGGCAGGGAACATTACTGATTGACAGTCTACTTCGAGGTACTTTACATTTATAGGAGACAATTTAGTGACTTGGAGGAGTAAGAAGCAAAAAGTGGTTGCTTTGTTAAGTGTAGAAGCGGAATACAAAGGTATGGCGAAAGGAGGATGTGAAATATTATGGCTTTGGAGAATTGCAGAACTTGGGTACTCATCGACGTCTGCATCAAATCCGTTTTGTGACAATAAAGCGACCATTGCTATTTCGCATAATCCAATTTAGCATGATCAGACTAAACATGTGGAAGTGGTAGACATTTTATTACGAAGAAGTTGGATGGGAATATTATTCAATTTCCTTTTGTAAAGTTTGAAGATCAGTTGTTAGACATCCTGACAAAAGCTGTTGCAAGTCAAGCCTTCTACAACTCACTTGGAAAGTTGGGCACCAACGATATTCACACACCAACTTGAGGGGGAGTGTTAGAGTGAGTTGACTTTTATGTGTAATTAGGGGGATTTTGTTCCCTGTTTAGTCTGTATAACTAGAGTAAATATTATTCCATATTCTTATATTGTAAATAAGGTCTGTAATATATATATTTGCCTCCTTGGTGAAAAGAATAATATCAGAGAATTGAAATCCCAAAATAAGCCTAAATTAGCATTGCTTTCCAGGTTCTGTCATGTAGCATTGCCATTATATGTTATAACTAGTATAATCAATACTCTTGAAGTCTTTGACAAAGGGAAGAGTACTCTTGAAGTCACTTGAAGAGGATTGGTTCTCTTCTGATCTTTCATGTTTTTCTGCGTACTTATATCTCATCAAGTGTAGTTGAATCTAGCCGAGAGAATTAATGGTTGAAGCCACAGGTTCTTGCTGATATCTACCTAGAGAATTACACTTCTGTGGAAGCTACAAATGATTAGATCAGCATCTCCATATGCCAATTCACTTCTCCACGCTGAAAAAGCTCAAACGCTGATACTTTCAGGTCTGTTTATTTATTTCTGCTCATCATTTGATATTGACTAAGAAAGCATCTATTTACAAGTGATAAAGTGTAGTCTTGAACATCTTTATCCAGATTTCATCTATTTCATCCAAGATTCGATGATTAATTTTCTTTCTACGATCTTGTGAACACGTTGGAAACTTCAGCATTGTTAAAATGAAATCTCAAATCGCCATCCTCATCAAGTGTAGTTGAATCTAGCGGAGAGAAGATCTCGAATTCCAGCGATCAACTTGCAACCTTGTGGCCCCTCGATTTCAGCCGAGGGGAGAGGGTGGCGGCGGCCAAGTTTGAAGGAAGGAAAAATGTTGAAAATGACACGTCGTTCGCTAGGGCTTAGGGTTTTGGATGACGGTGGCCTCGCGGCTCGGTGGCGCGGTTTAGAGCTGTGGTTTCTGCGCGATTAGGGTTTTGAAAACCCACTATTCTATGCTTGTCGATATTATAGTAAGCAGATCAGAAGGTTGATCAACACAAGGTCTGATGTTGCTGTTGAGAGATCTGAGGCAAGAAGGAGGGCCATGGGTCCTGCTGTTGGTGTTGGTTCTGCACTGCAGGCAAGACTTACAAAAATTATTGTAATTGTCTAGAACCCTCTCATCCCCTCAATAACAATAATAATTTGTTTTTTTAGAATTTTTTTAGAAAAAAGGATTGTCTAGTTTGCGTGGTATACATGTCATGCAAAGGGGAGCTAGGAGTGAGCATGGTGCAGTTTGGTCCCAAACTACACACTGAACCAACAATGATACAACATCTAAGCCTCAAACTAATAGCATAAGTGACCAAAACCTGTTAGTTGGTGATCAGTTTAGTTATCGTTGGTTTTATCTTCATAAACAATTTGTTAAAGAGTGCTAATAATCTCACCCCATTGTCCTGTTTTCCTATCCGTATTTTAATAAAAATCTCAAAAGTATTAATAACATGTTATAATTTTAGAAAAAGACTTTTAAACCCCTACCCCATTTCTCCCCCATCGTCTCTCTTCGTCCCCATTTCTATGTTCCGTTTCATCTCTCTCTTCTCGGCTTTTGCACCAACCACCACAGCCTGAAGCACAAAGGATCAGGAGGAGCACGACAAAGTTGTGTTGGTGGAGGAAGGGCAAGAGGAGTGCTCCTCTCCTTTGGGGCAAGTCACTTCTCGTTTGGGGCTTAAATTTCAATTTCCATTGAATTTGAATGGTTGTGGAGATTGAGAGCGTCATCACAGCTGTAATTAACTTTTTAATTTGTTTTTTTTTTATTACCCTGACCTTCATTGCTTGATGGTTGCTACAAGTGCAAGTGACTTGTTGCAGTAGTACAAAATCTAGAGATACATAGCTTATGGACAAGATTGAGAAAATGGCATTGGATTATGGGATTTTGGGTTGGCGGATTGACGCGTTTTGCTGCTAAAGGAAGTTCCAAGGGAGGCTAGAGGTGGAAACAAGATGAGGATGGTGTGGTGCTGGTGCTGTGATAATGGTTTTGCAGAAATGCTGGAACTTTGAAACTGATCTTGAATTAATGATGAAAATATTGAAACTAATCTTGGAGAAGTGCTTAGATTTTGAAATTAATGTTGCAGAAGTGCTGGAATTTTGAAACTGGTCTTGTAAAATATTGGAATTTTAAAGATGATCTTGCAGAAGTGTGAGATTTTTGAAATTAATTTTGCACAAATGGTGGGATTTCAAAATTGATATGCATAAGTGCTGAAAATTTTCAAACACATCTTACAAAAAGTGTTTGAATTTTGAAACAAATCTTGCAGAACTGCTAGAATTTTGAAACTGATCTTGCAAAAATGCTAGAATTTTAAAACTAATTTTGTAGAGGTGCTCAAATTTTGAAACTGATTGTGCATAATTGCTGGAATTTTGAATATGATCTTGCAGGATTGTTGGGATTTTGAAACTAATTTTGCGAAGGTGCATAGATTGTGAAATTGATCATGTAAAAGTGCATAGAGTGTGAAATTGATGATATAATGTGGTATTATCCTTACGTAATTCGGAATGTTAATATGTTGACTTACCCACACACGCACCGGTGTACCCTGTAGCTTCAAAACCCTAGATTGGAAACTTTCCTTTTCTTCTTTTCTTTTCCTTATTCCTTTAGGACTTAAATACAATTTCCTGAAGTACTATATAATTTGTAGCAATCCTTGATCCTTGTACGCAAAACAGCAACGACTCCTAACTTGAAATGTTGAAAATGACCCGTCGTTCGCTAGGGCTTAGGGTTTTGGACGACGGTGGCCTCGCGGCTCGGTGGCGCGGTTTAGAGCTGTGGTTTCTGCGCGATTAGGGTTTTGAAAACCCACTATTCTATGCTTGTCGATATTATATATCTCAACAAGTAATCCATATATTGAATCACAATAATAAATAATTATAACAAGGTGTAGTTTACAAAATATAAAAAAATTTAGAATTACATGGATGATGAGCAATATCGTAAATTCGTAATCGATCGCGCGGGCCGCACATTGCAGGGCATTTTTCCAGAATTCAGAAGGGTAGTTTCGTAATATAAAACATTATATCATCCATGATCTAATCCCATCTCGATGGTCTCATAAATTACATCGATTCATATCTTCCCTGTTTTCACAACACATTGTTGTTTTTGGGATGAAAATTTAATTTTGACATGCATGATCATCATCATCTAAGATTATATCCATAAAATCCCACAGACAGACAAAGAGATGATCAGTTCAGTACTACAAAAGCGAGAGAGATTAATGCAGAGCATAAAACTTGAAAATTTGATTGAACAAGAAATCAAACTCATCAACATATCAACTTTAGCCCAGCATTTCTCACTCATCAACAAATCAACATTTCAATTTTCCATAACGAAATAAAAGAAAAAAAAAAAAACACACACAAGAAAGGACACATAAGCACGTACTTATCCACTTTCCATTTCCAAAAGCAATTAAGTTTTTTTTTTTGGGGGGAATTGGATTTGCTTCGGATCTAAGTGTTCGGAGCCAACGAATCAATTAATTTGGGCCGCACAAATGAAAACCAATGGTTTCCATTAATTCATTTTTTTGATCCACCACACACAATCAACAACTCTGACTTCTTTTGCACACCAATCAATGATCCAAATTAATTGATATATAGGCTCCGGACACTAAGGTCCGGAGCGGATCCTTTTATTTTTTTGGTCTTCTCTGATAAATGAAAAAAACTAGGAAAAGGGCTAGGGTGACGGATTTTAGGAGAGAGCACTGACAGCGAGCGTAAATTAGAAATGATGATTAAAGGTGGAGGGAGAGGTCAAGGCTGTGAGGAGTGTCGTTGTCAACAGGAGAATGAGCGGCGGTGGCATTCTGAGGATGGCCATGATAATATTGATGGGTGTGGGAAGAAGGAGGTGCAGATGAGAAGAGGGGTTGAGGCAGTTGAATGGTGGTGGGGCCGTGAATCATCTGGGGAAGAGAGTAAGTGGAGGCGGCGGCGGGGATGAGGTGGTGGGGGTGGTAGTTAGTAGTGCTGATGTTGGAGAGGTCCATCGCCCAAGAGTACTTAGGTGGCTCGTTGTCCTGCTGCATAATATGCCCCGTCTCTATTAAAAAGCTGCTGCTGCTGTCGCGTACGGCTGCCTCTGGCTGCTGCTGGTGGTGGCTCTGCTGGAGCTGATGGTATTGGTGAGGCCCATACGAATAATGTTGAGCATGGTCATCAACGTCATGAGGCTGACGTGGCACGTTGATGGGCATGATCTGATACTGAGAAGGGGCAGGTGGGACGTTGAAAGTAGGGACATGATGAGGATGGCGAGGAGCGGCTCTCTCCGACTTGTGGGCGCCTACAAAAGACCTGCGAGCAGCGGCTCTCTCCGACTTGTGGGCGCTTTGGTGGCCGCCGAGGGCTTGGTAGCTGTTGAATTTGCGGGAGCAGTAAAAGCATTGGAAGCTGCGAGTTGCAGCTGCGGTTGAAGAAGAAGCGCGGCAGGCGTGGGGGGTGGCAGGGGGCTGAGAATGGGTAGGAATTTGGTGGGACGAAGGCCAGATAGAGGGGGGCAGGTTATTGAAAGGGAAGTGGGAGGGACAAGGAGAGAAGAGAGAAGAGTTGGGATGACGAGGATAAGGAGGAGGAGGAGGTGGTGGTGGGTTCATCAGAGTTAGTAAGTCATGAATCTCATCCTTTGCCTCCATTGAAACACCACCTGCAGTTTCAGAGGAAGCTTATCTCTCTCTATGTAGTTGGGTTGTAATAAGAGGAAGAAGGGAGGGGGACGGATCAGGTTGATATATATAGGTAAAGGAAAGGAATCATCTCTCCTGATCCTTTCCTCGTACTCTATCAAATTAGAGGATCGTTACCGTTAAAATTTGATCTAACGATTATAAATAAGAATTCATTTTAAAAATTATAATAACTTCAGCCGTTTAATCAATTTTTATTAGCACAAATTTTCTGATTTAGTGTATTATGAGGAAGGAATTTCCTCCGAATCCCTTCCCAAGAATAAAGCAAAGGAGTGGGGTCGAGTCATATTAATGGGTCGGTTCAGATCACTTTTGGCGTCGCACGATTGAAAAGAACAGGCTTTCTGAACCTATGGATTTTTATGGGGACAATCAGGGTAAAAGATGACAAGAACGTTTGGCCCGTGGATTTTGATGGGGACAATCGGGCCAAAAGATGACAAGAACGTTTGGCTCGTGGATTTTGATGGGGACAATCGGGCCAATAGATGACAAGAACGTTTGCCATTGCTGCAGTTGCGCTCGGAGGCGTAAAAGCATATTTAAAAGAGATATTAAATTTTAAACAATAAAATGATAGTTGATAATTTATGTGGTAATTTAATATTTTTTACAATATTTTGTTTCACTTGATATGTCAAATAATAATGTCATTTAATAAATTTTTTATCTTTTTATGAAGTCCATTGATTAAAGCAACCAATCAAATATTTGAAAAATATAACAACATTTATTATATATTATATTAATTTATTAAAATATCATTTAATAAATTTGACAGCAAAAGGTTTTGCCTTTAAATGACTCAGCACTACCTAAGAAACTAGAGGCTCGTTTGAAGAGAGTTTGCTGCCATTTTTAACTATTGTATGCCTATGTGGCAATTTTGACATCTCCTTTGGAGATGCTCTAATGACTGCAATTACCCCCACTTTACATTGTACAAGAAGAAAAATCAAAGGATAAATATCGAAATTTTGCACGTTTGTGGGTTTAATTTGTCACTAAAAGCATTGGGATGTATAAACTAGTTAGGTAAAAAATAAATAGATAGAGAGTGTGTTGGAAGAAAATGTATAGTGGGGATTTTGCAAGTGATCATTTCTTTTTATATTATGATGTGCTAAATATGTAAAGCGTGGGTTCATATTTACCAAGGTTGCCTCGCACATTGATTGAAGTTGTTAAGTAGCTAACTAGCTTATATCCTATTCCTATACTATTAAATCATAGTGTAACTCTATAAACATTGAATTAATAATTAATAATTAATAACTAATGGGGTTAATTTTCTTTCAAAATTAACATCAAGTAGATGCATGCATGCATGAAGCTATATAATATTTCAACATTCCCAAACTCACTCGCTCACAAGTCACAAACATATGTAATACAACATATTACATATGCCATGCCATCAAACTCGAAACACTTGGACAGCATTCTTCAACTACGAGAGCGGCAGACTGGGAAACGAAATGAAAGAGAGAAAAGAAGCAAACAAGAAAGAGAGAAAAGAAAAAAACTTTGAGGGACGTTGAAAAGAAACAAACTGAGAGGGACTTTTCAAGAAAGAGAGAAAAGAAACGAACTTATAGCAAAAGTAGAACAGGGCTAGTGTCATTTGAGATGAAATGACCAACGATATATGCATATTTGAGAATATGTACACAGAGGATTACAATAAACAAAAACAAGGGTAATGGTAAAGTAGATGTTTCAGTTGATGTTGAAGTACTTTGGATCATCCGGACAATGGTATTTCACGTTCAACTGCGATTAAAAGAACCAAAAAAAAGATAGAGTATAATCAGCTAAACTTGCACTGTGAGAATGTGAAGGTTGATGAAATAAGAAACCTTATAAGAACTTATAAGGGATTTGACTACTTTTCATATTACCAATTGGTTTTACAGTGGGACAAATACAAATTTATAAGCATTACATGTGCCATGCAACCCTCCATTCTTTAAGCTCCACGTAGTCACGTACACGCTTAAACAACGCACCCTCCATTCTTTAACTAGGCATGCAATGTAGTAAAAGGTAGAAAATGTACCTATGGTAAGAAAAGTCAGCACGTGATGGATACGGGAAGACAGGGAGGATAAGACCGCCAATCGTTTCACTTTCGAAGCCCTGCTAGTACCCGGACGAGCAACGTGAAAATGATTGACCTGCATATGCATTAATGAATTAAATGGATGCGGATCTTTCTCTCTCCCTTTAAATAAATAGGTGAAGGGCAAAATATTCCCCCCTCCTGATCCGTCCTCACGCTCGTGGGGAAATTATACCGTTGTCCACTAGAACCTTGCCATCTGTACAATTTAATACATGTCAGATCCAGAAAATCCAAGGCCTTTTTACTGAAGCGGTGGCCTTCTTCGCCATCGTTTTCCAGAAAAGTAATTTGGTCAGATTCGACATTTCAAATCAACATCTGATCTACTAATCTTGATGAAGGGGAGGGATAGAGGATGAAGAAAATTTCGGAGAATGAGTTTTGACTCTCAGATTCACTGCGACAATAACATAGCACCATCCTCATTTGATTCCCATGTCACTAGAAGCAGCACGAAGAGAAAAAAAAACAAAATTGGTGTTTTGAAATTTTGCTGGAGTAATAAATAATTTTGATTACTGTTTGTAGTGATTCACATGTTCTTTTTTCGTTATCTTCCAATTTTTGTAAATCTGATTAAAGTTTTTAAAGCACATACAATTCATGTTACCAACAAAATTTTCATGATTTTTTATGGTTGTACAGACTCATTGGTTGCAGAGCCATTCGTCGGGGCTTGAAGAAAAGGAAAGTTGAGAAAGTCTATTCTTGTCGTAGAAGTCCTGTTGGCAGTGAGCTTTGAAGAAAAGGAAATGTGAGAATAGCAGAATAGGTGGCTTTTTTCTTTTGGCACCGAGTTACTTCCAAAATTTCCCCTAACCTTAGCATTACCACTTTCTGAATGTGTTTGCATTTTATGATACAAATTCTTATGTTATACATGCAAATAGTTATAAGAACTATCTGATGTTTTCTACCTCATTCAACAACTTAATTACACTCCCACTATTTTGGTTGGAAGTTGATTAGAAGAGTCTTCGTTCCATTGACATCCTTTTCTTTACAATTTATGCTGAAAATTACTTGCAAAATGTAATATGAAAGGTTAGTTGGCATGTTAACTTTCAGAAGCATGAGATGAACGACAATGAATGAGCATGATATATATATATATATATGTGTGTGTGTGTGTGTGTGTGTGTGTGTGTGTGTTATCCTAATGTGTTGTCTTCATCTTCGGCCTCAAAAGTGTTCCTTAACTTCTCTTCATCTATCTCAAATGCCTTCCTTGCATGTTTCAGTTTTTCAGTACAACTTTAAAGTTTTGGGTTTTTTTTTTTTTTTTTTTTTTGCAGTTTACCACATATTTAGTTGAGTGGAAAGGAAGTTAGTAATCATGTATGAGTTTAAATTCCTTGAATGCTCAATATTTTAGTTGGAATCGAGTGGTGTGCTCTGTGCTGTGTATTGTGTATTGTGATTCAGAGATAGTTGGAATTGATTCTTTGAATATTTCTCACCGTTTTTTTTTTTTAAATTTTTTTATGTAATGGAGTGATGTGAAACGAAGATCTATAGATACTCTGATTAGAAAATGCGTGTACGAGACAGAGGCCCAGGGCAAAGGAGTGGAGGAAGACCTAGGAAAACTTGAAAATAGACTCTAAGAAAAGATTCGGACTACTTAGATCTAACAGAAGACATGGCACAAAACTGAGCGCAATAACGTTTTAAGATTCATATAGCCGACCCCACTTGGTGGGAGAAGGTTTTGTTGTTGTAATGGAGTGGTGTGTGTTGGGTGCTTCTTAGTTTGATAATTAAGCTAAGTACCATTTGGAATCGAGCTAAATAATTGATGGAAACATAAACTAAATCATTTGGGTTCCTAATTCATGTTTACAATTTTCATTGTCTTCCCCTTTTAAACGATGTTTTTCAATTGTGTATGAATTGTTGCTTTCACTTGGTTTCTTTAATGACTCAAAATTGTAATAGCAACCTGTGCTCTTTTGTATATGCTTTAAGTTCCAATTCCAAGTTCATATGCATCCCTAGGTTCATTTCTTTCGTTTTTAGAATCCTCAACTCCAATGGTTACCGGTTTTCTTTCATTTATGTTTTCTTTTAGTAATCTATGTTTTAATTTTTTGTTCTCTTTCAATTCTTGTAAATCCAAGTTTTTGAAAACTCATGCAAGTCATGTTACTAACAAAACTTTTGATGCTTTTACACACTCATTGTTTGCAGACCCATCGTCGAGGCTAGAAGAAAAAGGAATGTGGGGAAAGTGTATTCTTGCCATAGATTTTCTGTTGGCAGTGAGCCTTGAAGAAAATGGAAGGTGATAACAGCGGAAGAGGTGGCTTTTTGCTTTTGGCCTTTTGTTTTCTTCATTCTGTTGAATAGTTAGACTTGAGAATACAAATATGATTTTTATTTCGTTCAATTTACACTGTTACGCTTCTAAATGAACATAAATTTCCATTTTGTATTCTCATTCCAAACCAATGCTCAAAAAGCTACCCAGTATCCAACTCTATCCCACATTTCATATATTCCCACTCCCTTATAATCCTTAAAAAAAAATAATAATAATAAACGAATTATGCTCCAAGCCTCCAACCAAATGCTTAACTTTTAAATATTTGACAGTTATATAATCTCCATGTATAAATTAGAGGCATTCACATTAAGCTAACTCCATAGAAAACGTATCTCACTGGTGCAAAAGGACTTAGACTTTTTGTGCATAATGCTAAGTGTGCAACCAACAGGTAAAACATAAACTTATATGACTATAATGAATGGGCAAGTAACATCCCAATAATGTAAACAAGTATTCACAAACACATATCTCACTTGAGCTAGATGGGTGTGG